TTTTCCTCCCTAGGTGCAGCACTTTGCATTTCTCCTTGTTGAATTGCATTCTGTTGTTTTCTGCCCACTTGTCCAACCTGTCCAGGTCTGCTTGCAGCTGTTCCCTGCCCTCTGGCGTGTCCACTTCTCCCCATAGCTTTGTGTCATCTGCAGACTTGGACAGAGTACATTTCACTCCCTCGTCCTCACTGATGAAGACATTAAAGAGTATCGGTCCAAGGACCGAGCCCTGCGGGACCCCACTGCCCACACCCTTCCAGGTCGAAACCAACCGATCTACCACGACTCTCTGGGTGCGATCCTCCAGCCAATTCGCCACCCACCGGACTGTGTAGTCATCCAAGTCACAGCCTCTTAACTTGTTCACCAGTATGGGGTGGGATACCGTATCGAAGGCCTTCCTGAAGTCCAAGTATACGACATCCACCCCTGCTCCTGTGTCCAGGCGTTTCGTAACCTGGTCATAAAAAGAGACTAGATTTGTCAGGCACGATCTGCCTGCCACGAACCCATGCTGGTTTCCCCTCAGCATAATTTGTCCTGCTGGACTCTCACAAATGTGAGCCTTGATAATTTTTTCAAAGATTTTTTCAAAATTTTTTCATGTAGGCAGAGGGAGCAGGTTTCCCCCCTCCCTCAGGAATGTATCCAGCTCAGGTCACCCAAAGAGATAGGGTAAGGTGTGTACCCTCTCCAGGGCCCATCTTAACCAAATTGTCACAGTGCAGAGTTTTGGGGAGAAACAGAGGTGGCCTTCTGCCACACTCCTCCCCTCCCTCCTTTAAAAACTTGGACACATGGCTGGCTTTACAGAGCTATGAGTACGAGCGTGTTTCATTTGGAAGGGTCACCTTTCATACCTAAAGAGAGATTACACAACACATAAAACTGGTCATAACAATACTACACACAGAACATGAAAGCACATTGGGGAGCTCCCATGCCAGAACTCTCTCAGGTGTGCCTGAGTCCATCCAACCCACTGCCCAGAGTCCTTTTGTGACAGGGCATCTGCTATCACAGTCTGGCTTCCCTTGATGTGTTTGACGTTGAAGTTGAACTCCTGAAGCTGCCAGGCCCATTGTTGAAGCTTGGCATTGGTGTTTTGCATTGTCTGCAACCACTGCAGTGGGGCATGGTCTGATAGGATGGTGAACTGCTGCCCCCACAAATAGGGCCTCAGCTTGTTCAGCACCTAGACGATTGCCAAACACTCCTTCTTGATAGATGACAGGTTCTGCTCCTCAGGGATTAACTTCCATCTTAAGTACACCATGGGGTGCCGTGTCTCTTGGTGCTCTTGTAAGAGTATAGATCCAAGTCCTGAGTCAGAGGCATTAGTGGCTACGTAGAAGGGTTTATCATGGACCGGTGCATTCAGAATCGGTTGTTTGATCAGGCAGCCTTTAGGGTGTCAAATGCTTCTTGGCACCCCTGCTTCCAGACCACTGGATCAGGGCTGCCCTTCTTGGTCAACTCATGTAGGGGAGCTGCCATCACTCCAAATCCAGGGACAAACTGCCTGTAATATCCAGCCAGGTCAGGGAAGGCTCTGACTTGCTTCTTGGTTTGTGGAGGCGGCCAGTCCCTAATGGCCTCGATCTTGTCCCACAAGGGAGCAATATGACCTCCACCCACATGATGTCCCAAATATACCACTTCAGATAGTGCCCACTGGCACTTTTTGGCTTTCACAGTAAGACCAGCTTGCTTGATCTTGCCTAACACGGTGGTCAGATGAATCAGGTGCGATTCCAAGTCCTGACTGAAGATGGCAATGTCATCAATGTAAGCCATGGCAAACTGCTCACATCCTTGTAACAGGTTATTAATCAGTCTTTGAAAAGATGCAGGAGACTTGCGCATACCAAAAAGTAAAACTGTAAACTCATATAGTCCCACAGGTGTGGTAAAGGCAGACTTGGCAATGGCATCTGGATCCAGTGCCATTTGCCAGAATCCTTTGGACAGATCAAGAGTAGAGATAACCTTGGCCGGGCCCAGGTGATCAAGTAAAGAGTCCGTCCTGGGCATAGGGTAAGCATCAGGGGTGGTAATAGCATTCAGCTTCCGGTAGTCCACACAGAACTGGATGGACCCATCCTGCTTCTGGACAAGTACCACTGGGCTGGCCCAGGGATTCATTGAAGGCCAGAGTACCCCTAACCCTTTCGTCTCTGTGATCTTTCATGTTATTTCTTGCCTGACCTTCTTGTTAACCGGGTAAGGTTTGGATTGGATAGGGTGATGGCTGCCCGTGTCTATAGAGTGTACTGCCAGGTCCATTTTACCTGGTTTGTTGGAGAACACTGTCTCAAAGCCTTTGGGCTGGCCCAGGGATTCATTGAAGGCCAGAGTACCCCTAACCCTTTCGTCTCTGTGATCTTTCATGTTATTTCTTGCCTGACCTTCTTGTTAACCGGGTAAGGTTTGGATTGGATAGGGTGATGGCTGCCCGTGTCTATAGAGTGTACTGCCAGGTCCATTTTACCTGGTTTGTTGGAGAACACTGTCTCAAAGCCTTTGAGTGCTGTGAGCAGCTTGTCCTTGTCGTGGGAGGGCAGATGGTCCAGCAGGCAGAGTTCCTCTATTCCTGACTCTCCATCCCAGTCAACATACATGACCGGCTCCTCTGGATCTTCAGGTGATCCTTCTACTGAGGAAATCTGGAATACTGCATCACTTCTATTAAAGTATGGTTTAAGCATGTTCACATGAACTGTCTTAGGCTTTTTCCCACTCCTGGCCACTACATAGGTCACATCATCCAGCTTGTCCAGGATTACATGGGGACCTTCCCAAGCTGCTTGCAGCTTGTCTGTCTTTAGTGGCAGGAAAACCATGACCTTATCACCTCATTTGAAGGTACATAAGCTAGCCTTTTCATCATACTAGGTGCTTTGCTTCTCCTGGGCCTGGGCCAGGGAGTCTCGTGCCACCTTCATCATGTCAGTTAGCTTCTGACGAAAGCTGAGCACGTATTCTACCACGGAGGTCTTGGTGGAAGAGATTTTCCCTTCCCACTCTTCTCTCACCAAATTGAGGACCTCTAACTCGCCTTCTGAACATCAGCTCAAAGGGCGAGAACCCAGTGGGCTCCTGGGGCACCTCCTGGTAGGCAAAGAGCAAATGCGGAAGTTTCTCATCCCAGTCATTGGGGTTACAGTCCACATAGGCATTTAGCATACCTTTCAAGGTCCCATTGAACCTTTCTATGAGCCCATTTGTCTGAGGGTGGTAGGCTGTGGTCTTGAGGTGTTTCACCCCACAGCATTCCCACAGGCACTTCATCACCTCTGCCAGGAAGTTCCCACCCCTGTCAGTCAGGATCTTGGAGGGAAAACCCAGCTGAAAGAAGATCTTGGTTAGGGTGTCAGCATCTACAGGTGCTTCGGTGGAGGTCAAGGCAATTGCCTCTGGGTACCGAGTTGCGAAATCCACTAGAGTCAGGATGTGTTTCTTCCCTCTATGAGTCTTATGCCTCAGAGGGCCCACAATGTCTATACCCACTCTTTGGAAGGGTTGATCAATGATCGGGAGGGGCTGTAGGGGAGCCTTTCTCTTGTCCCCACTTTTGCCCATCTCCTGGCACGTCTCACAAGATCAGCAGTAGTCTGTCACATTCTGGGCAATTCTGGGCCAATAAAAGTTTGCCTGCAGGTGCTGGCATGTCTGTTCCCTGCCCATGTGACCAACACATGGTAAATCATGAGCCATGGAAAGCAATTGTTTTCTGAACTTATGAGGTATTATGAGCTGGCGATGGGGTTCCCAGGTCTCAGCATGGTTCTTTGGTACCCACAACTGATAGAGAAGTCCCTTATCCCAGACCACCTGTTCCCTCTTATCTGGAGTGAACTCTGTCTCTTGCTCCTGAGCCATCTGCTGGAGTTCCTCCAAGCTGGGATCCTCTAGAAACTCCTGCCTGAACTCCTCTTGCGCAGCTAAGCAATCAGCAGAGAGTTCTGGTGCTCCTGTAAGGAGTGCGCCTTCACCCTTGGGGATGCCCTTTAACTTCTCCCCAAGAGTCTCAGTTTCCTCTGCCACTGACTGACAAGACTCCTCCCTGGGACTGTCACTTAACCCAACATTGAGATCGCTGGTTTCCTCAATGGCCAGGGGCTGGTTGCAGTCAGAGGGAGTCTGAGTCTCTCCTTCCTCCCCCTCTGCCTCAGTAGCCAATTGGGTGACCAGGCCCTGGGAAGTTTCCACTCCTCCTGCCTTAGCCTTTCTGCTCTGTTGACGAGTCACCACATTAACACGGTAGGGCTCTAGCTCTAAGAGGTGGCCCTCCTTCCTTTGCAGGTATTCTAGCTCTATAACATCATGTCCCACCAGGATGGGGACAGGAGCCCCTTCCAGTATACCCAGTTCTATGCACATCCCGCAGCCTTTCCACTCGATGCAGGGACAGGATAGGGGTGCCTCAAATGGCCGGGACGCTACCCCTTGAATGGTAAGGGTTCTCCCTGGGACTATATCTGCAGGTGAAACAAGGTTGGCATTGATTAATGACACACTGTACCCTGTGTCCAGTTCCCTGACAAGGGTTCTCCCATTTAGTGTTATCTTAGTCTGGTGGAAGACCATCACCTCCTCTGGGTTTGTAATCCTGTA